TATTTCCATCCTAAAACTAAGATATCTCTCATAATAGACATATTAGGGAATGTCTTAGGACTTTGAACTTGCTTAGACATAAGTCAAGTGAGAAGCGTAGTCGTTGGTTTCTAAAGTAAAATGCATATTATCCTTAGCATGTCCTTGATTCTTTGTTGGCTAACTTGAAGTAATTCGGGCTAGGTTTTATCATTATAAGTCCAAATCCCAAATCCAAAACCATTATTTGTGACCACTTCCCATTTTACAAGAATCACTCATTTCAACATTCACTATTCTTTAAAACTTTAGAGTTTGGAAATTATTTAGAAGTCCTTGAGGATCGATACTTGGATACTCCATCCATTTTATATTACTTTGACAGGTGTGCGCTTGCATCTATATAATTGTTACCACGCTTAGTGCGTGCGTTCAGCATAAACGCCCAGTCAGTCCCTCCGAAATTCAAGCTACCATCTCTAAAATAGTTCGACGGAACGACTGACCCGATTGATCATCTTGATGCTTATCGGAGTGGATGGACATCTACGGGCTCTCAGAGGCAATCTGGTGCCGCGTTTTCTCTTTCACCCTAGGGGGTCGGCTAGGGTTTGGTTCTGACAATTAAAGCGAGGGTCGATTTCAAGCTTCAAAAGCTTGGCCAGGGCGTTTGTAACCCAGTTTGTAGGAGGTTGGAATCGAAGTCGGCCGGTGGCGTATCTCTTAACCATAAAGCAAAGAACGGTGGAGAGCCTCCATGATTATGTGACACGGTTCAATGAGGAGAAGCTACAGGTGGAGGGTCTAACCCTATTAGCATTCATGTCAGGCATCAAGGACGAGCACCTGTCATTTTCATTTGGAAAGAAAACTCCGAGCACTTTCGCGGAAGCACTGAGCCGAGCTCAGAAATACATGAGTGCTGAGGAGTTCTTCCATTTGAAGAAAGAACTCGAAGGGAAGCGTGCCGATCAAAAAAGAGAGAGGTCAGGGGAAAAACCTCTAAGCTCGAAATGGGAGAAGCAAGATCGGGTCGTCGGACAGAAGGATCTACCTCGGAAGTTTGAAAAGTATACTCCGACCACGGTTCCATTAGAGCAGGTATTGATGGAGATTAAAGACCAAAGGCTACTTAAATGGCCAGAGACGATGAAGGCGCCACCGAACAAGAGAAGCAAAGGGCGATACTGCCTCTTCCACAGAGACCATGGACATGCTACACTGGATTGCTTTGATCTCAAGGAAGAGGTAGAAGGACTCATCCGGAAGGGGTACCTCAAAGAATATGTGGATGATCTCAAAGCGACTCCAAATAGGGAAAATGATAACAAATCTCCGACCAGGGAAATTCGTACGATCATGGGAGGTTCAACAGAACAGGAGTCTGACAGGAAAAGAAAGGCGAGTGTACGGGAAGCAAGAGATGGGCCTCGGGCAATATGAGGTCTACCACGCAGCTTTCGCCGACCGATCCGTAAGGATAAAATTTTCGGAAGATGAGACTGCTCACCTCTTCCACCCACACAACATTTGTTATCACCTTACAGGTAGCCAACACAAAGGTGCACCAGATCTTGGTTGACGGAGGCAGMTCAGCCGACATCATCTCCTTAGCAGCCTACAAGGCTATGGACCTAGAAGAGAAAGTCCTTAAGAGCAGCCCTGCACCGGTAGTAAGATTTGGGGGAGAGCAAGTCATTCCAGAATGAAGAGTGGTGACTGGGCGTTTATGCTGAACGCACGCACTAAGCGTGGTAACAATTCTATAGATGCAAGCGCACACCTGTMAGAGTAATATAAAATGGATGGAGTATCCAAGTATCGATCCTCAAGGACTTCTAAATAATTTCCAAACTCTAAAGTTTTAATGAATAGTGACCGTTGAAATGAGTGATTCTTGTAAAATGGGAAGTGGTCACAAATAATGGTTTTGGATTTGGGATTTGGTCTTATAATGGTAAAACCTAGCCCGAATTACTTCAAGTTAGCCAACAAAGAATCAAGGATAYGCTAAGGACGATATKCATTTTACTTTAGRAAYCAACGACTAYGCTTTTCACTTGACTTATRTCTAAGCAAGTTCAAAGTCCTAAGACATTCCCTAATATGTCTATTAYGAGAGATATCTTASTTTTAGGATGGAAATAGTCGCAACCTCGGGTTAAGGTCCTATGTCTAGGCTACTTAAGCGGAACCCTTATGTCTAAGGCGCTCCTCTCCTCGGTTTAACCACTCAACAATGCAAATAAGCAACCTTTTCAGTATTGACTTGTTAAGACTTATAGTGGCCTTCTCTAAATCCTAACTTTTTGGGAAAACATGTTGAGTAATGAGTGGAAAGCAAAAACACTACTTCTTAGCAACTCTTTTTAGAAATAAAAGGCTAACTATCCATAACTGGGCTAGAAACGGGAATTTAGAAAGACATATTGAAGAAAATACAGCAAGTAAAATGGTTGAAATTGGAATGCATGTGTGAAAAACAAAAGTTAACTAACGGAAAGTTTTTCTCGGGATTGAGAGCTTCGCCCTTCTCTTTCAAGCAAGGGAGAGTGTCACGTGCTCTTTCCTCCAAAAACACAACTCTCTTAACTAAAAATAAAGTAAAGGCAAAGGGAAGATAAGCAAAGTGCTGGATTTTTATAAATTTGAATAGGTAGAAAATAACTAAGTACAAACGGAAACAAAACAAAGCTCAATAAAGGAATGTAAAGTGCTCGGGATTTAAAAACCAAAAGCAACTAATGAAAGCAACTAAAAAGTACTTAGAAAGCAACAAAGAAACACTAAAAGTGATCAAGAGAAGGAAGCAAGGCTTGATGAATTTGATGGAGAAGCTGCTGGAATTTATAGCTGCTGGAATTGGTTAGATAGGTCCTAAAACGATGGTGAATCACCCATTTCCAACATTTTTGACTGACTAAATCGTGCTCAAACTGATAGTGGAACACTTCTTCTACACGTATGCATCAGTTGGAACCACCAAAACGCATTGGAAGATGCGTTTCATTAAGGGCAAAGTTGGAAGAAAACCAGTTTTCTGCAGCCTTCCCAAGCGCCTGGCGCCTCCCATGTAGGTATTTCCGACTTTTTGCTTTTTTTGATTAATTTGCACTCCCAAATGGTCCTAACATGTCATAAATACAATATAAGCCACCACAAACCATCATATATGAATTTTGCATGAATTAGAACTCAAACGACCGAGAAAAAGTCCGAAACAAAGTTAAAACATAGTAAAAACAGCATCTAAAACCTTCTTTTTACGCATGTAAGAGCAGCCCTGCACCGCTAGTAGGATTTGGGGGAGAGCAAGTCATTCCGGAATGAAGAGTGGAGCTACCACTCACATTTGGGAGTGGGCTGAAAAGCGTTATCAGGGTGTTAGAGTTTCTCGTCGTCGACTACTCGTCTTCTTACAATGCAATATTGGGAAGACCGACCATACACACGCTCAAGGTGATACCCTCGACATACCACCAATCTATGAAATTCCCAACGCTTGGAAGGGTAGGTGAAGTCAGAGTGGAGCAATGAGTATCACGCGAGTGCTACTATACCTCACTAAGAGGTTACAACTCAGGGACATCTACTTCAAAGTAATTTTGACTACATCAGTGACGAATGGGATAGGATTTAGAGGCAGTTTTTTATTTTATGTTTATTTTTATTTTTCTCTTTTATGGTTATGCATTTATGTCAGTTTAATGAAATTCATATTTACTTGAGCAACAATTGTCACTACTTCCCATGAGTTCCTCAAGTGGGGGCAAGATAATCTTACGAATCGACTAAATCTCAAAGGCTAAACTAGAAGCGATCATTTGGCCTAGCGCGGTTAAAACACAAGGCGGACAAAGAGCCGAATAAGCGACAAGTGCAGGGTATAAAACTACTGGATGTAACTAACAAGTTAGAAACCCACAAAAACTTAAGAGTAGGCAAAGTCAACTCCGCCAAAATTAAGAGCCTTAAACAAATAGAAATTTGAAGGGATTTCATTGAAAATTCTGACATACAATGGTAACAAAGACAACATAAATACAAAGCTTTTTAAAGCATGAAAACATCAACAAACGATTCGACTCATACTCGTCATCGCCACTATCATCCATGTCATCAGGAGCATTGCATTCAGCTCGAAAACGCTCTTGAAGGAAGGAATAGTCAACTTCGGGATGCTTTTCAGAGACTTGACGGAGGGACCAGGACACGCCACATTGCATGACAACATTCTGCAAATCAACATAGTCCTAACTCTTCTTAAACTTTGTGGCCAGGCATTTGGAGTTAGCTAACCGATCATTAGCCTCGTCGAGCTTCCTTTGGAGAGCTGCGAGGTCATCTCGAGATTTTCTCCTTTCAACCTCCAGATCGTGTCGGGCATTTGCCAACAACATATTGGATTGATCTAGAGATGCGAGGGCCTGATCCAACTCGTCCCGAGGAGCATAATGACTATGAAGATGGTTGATTTCGTTAGCGACTCTACCCGAAAATACAACCAAGCGGTTGAAAACCTATCAAAAGTCAACAGCATTGTTAGCAGGGAGCAGATTCAGAAATTGAAAACCGACTATGATTCTGACCTGATGGAGATCGTCGAGGCAAGTATGGATACTTTGCTGAGGGTTAGAATAACCAAAGCTTGATCCACCGGACGACTCTCCCAGTCTCTGCCAAAGGGTAAAAGCCCTCTTAAGATAAGCCGCCCCGTCGGTTTCAGTTTCATACGGGCCCGAAAAGGGGAATGTCGACACCTGGGAAGAAGACCCGGGAGGGCCACGAGATGAAGAGGGAGTTGAAGTCCCTTGAAGCCGAGCAGAGCGGAGGGGTGCGGTAGGAGGCTTCAACGGTGGAGCCCGATCTCGAGAGAAGGGATCATCCTCCGTCAATTCGGTAATCTCGACATCAGAAGCTCGGTTAGCACCGGCACCCGAGCTTCGAACATTCCGACGATGTTCCCTTTCAAATAAGGAAGTAGCCCATCTTGACATTTATGCAAAGTAAGTATGACATAAAGATCGACTGAAAGCAAATTTAAAGAAAGCCTCAAATGGGTACCTGGGGGTAGAAGAGGGGGAGCTAAGCCGAAATCCACCAGGTTCTGCTCGCTCACCAGATCTGGACCCCATCGCTCAACGTTAGGCAGCCGGAGGACGGAGTGGTAAAAATTCAATGCCTCGATAGAGAGTTCGCAGGTACAGGCAGCTGCCAACAAAGGAGAGAGAAGGAGTTTAGAATGTGATGTATGAACGTTCCGATAAGAGTTCGGGAAGTTACATACCTAACTCTCTACACTCTGTCGGGATAGGAAAATGTAATCCATGGTCATCCCGGGCAAGCTAGTCACCACCAACAAGGAACCACTCATCCTTCCAATGATTTACAGAATAAGGGCCCGAAATAAGAATCTTATTTCGTGAGCTAATATAAAAGTGAAAAGTGTCATCAAGGCTGTGTTTGAAATAATAAAGCGACATAAAGGTGGCTACGGTCAAGGGTTGGTCACCCCCAAGATAGGACCATAGGATGAAGCAACTGATCAATGTGGACCACCCGTTAGGAACGATTTGGGAGGGAGCCACTTGGTTAAAAGCTAGAAAATTTTGGAGGAATAGAGGCAGCGGAAGGCGAACGCCAAATTTAAACATAGCCGCATAAAATACGACTTATTTAGGAAAAGATCCATCGACACTCTCACCGGGGTTCGGTAGGCGAAGGTTGATTGAATCGAGTATGCTATATTTCGAGCGAAGGCGGCGCAAATCCCTCGCTGTAAGCGTGGAGTTGTCCACCCAAGAGGGATGAAAGGGAGTAGTCCACTCGAAATTTAGATCACTGCTAGAAGCCATGGAGGTAGAGTAAAATAGCAAAGAAGTTAGATGGTTACCTCGGATGGAAGAAGTGA